TAAATATATATATATATATATATATATATATATATAAATAAAGGGACTAGGCTGGGAATGTATTCTAGGGGCTAGCCTGCCAAGATGTTGTTGGCTACCTAGGACAGTTTATTAACCCTCTGTAGTTCCTGATTTTCTTTATCTGTATGATGGACTTACTGGTCTTTCCCATCTTACGGTGTGATTGTGAAGATAAAATGAGATAATAGCTATTAAGAGTCCTCTAGAAATTTAAAGAAACTCTTCAAATACAGTGTATGGTCACATAATTATGAAAATCATCATTATGCCAATAACATTATGCTAGTCACCTAGTAACTTTCAAAGACTTGGATGGACCACTGTAAAGTCATGGAATCCAGGCTCCTAGAAGGATTTGGAAAGCTCTTTAAGTTTAAATTCTATGGATGGCAACTAAAATTTTGGTTTATTTTTTGCTTCCTTCTTCCTTCCTTTGGAATTTAAGAAACTATTGCTCTGCCTCAAAGAGAGGTAATTTATTTGGTTTCATGGTAAGAAATTTCAGCTTAGCTTGCCTACTTGCATTTGACTTCAAAGTTTTTCTAGGTATATTATCATTTAAACTGGAGGGAAACAATCTTCCTTAACTAGAGCATGGGCCATGACCTTGCCTACATGATGGGCAGCTAATCCACTTAGAACCAGTGACTCGCTTTGTATAATTTATAAGACCCCATGAAAAGACAGGCCTCCATAGATTAATATTTCAGCTGTCTTCCCTTCCATTTCATCCTCTGGATGTGGCAGCAACAATCACATGAATCATTCCTGAACTGAGTCGATATCAAACATCCGGAGCTTCATCTGCATTCGATGAAGGTTCAGCTCATTCAAGGGAAGTTCCTATAGGATTTCAAATACATGGATGATTTACCTTTGACACCTCTCACCCCATCCTGGCTGTGGTGGTTGAAAAAAAAAAAGCTTTAAATTCTTTGACACTCCTCTTATTTAGAGATGGGAGTCTAGGTCCCCTCCCCTTGAATCTGGGCAGGCTTGTGACTGCTTTACCCAACAGAGTATAGTAGAAGTATGTTATGTATGTGACTTCTGAGACTGGGTCATAAAATGCCATACAGCTTTTTCTATGGCTCTTGAAATGCTTACTCTCTAAATACTCTCTCTGGACGCTCCCTCTCAGAACTCACCTGTCATGCTGAGAGAAGCCCAAGCTACAAGGAAAGGCCATATGTAGATGCTTTGGTCAACCATCCCAGAGAAGCCCAGCCTTGGAATCATCTCAGCTCAGGTACCATGCATATAAGTGAAGAAATCTCCAATTGATTCCAGACTCCAGCCATGGATTCACTCACATTGTGGAATATGGACCTGGTAGAGCAGGAACAAGCCACTCCTGCTATGCCCTGTTTGAAATCTTAACCCAGAGAATCCATGGGCGCAACAAAATGGTTGTGGTCTATGCCACAAAGTTTGGGCTGGTTTGTTACGCAGCCATAGATAATTAGAACACTGGCTGACTAGGATACTGTTTCTCTTCCTTTCCCAAGTCCATAAGAAATTACTGGTGTGGTCAAAGAGGATAAATTTCTTCAAAACAAGAAAACTGTTCTATGCTTCTGGCTAAAGTACTAAGCCAGTCCCTTGGTGGGAGCTCTAGATTGTTCTTCCCTGTGTGTTGGCTTCTTGGTAGAAAGACCAGTTCTTGGTGTTGAATTTCCTTTCTCTGTCCTGTTTTTACAAGTTGTCAATGATTAATTCACTAATTCATTTATTTATCCAGTAAATGTTAATCAAGCCCCTTCAACAGAGCAGGTCCTCTTCTAGACGCTCAGGATGTGACGGTGAGCAAAACATATATGATTTCCATCTTTCTGGAGATGGAGTTCAGTGCAGAGGTCTTAATCTTTTTCGTGCCACAGATCTTTCACATCTGATGAGGTCTGTGGACCCTTGCTCAGAATAATGATTTTTAAGTACATAAAACACATAGGCTCACAAAGGAAACTATATTGCAGTAGTTACCAAAATATTTAAAAACACATTTGTAATATAACGATATATATATTTCTTTATGGATGCATGAAATAATGAGATACAGTGATGAGTCTAATAAGTTTTGAGGTAGTGATGAGTCAATATAATATGTTGAGATGCTAGCAAAAACTGTATTATGAATATAGCTGTGATTTTTGTTGGTGAGAAAGTCACAGGTATATACTGTGACTATAAATACTACTGTGGTTTATTGTCTACATACCTAATAGAAGGAAAAGCTAAATTTTAGTAAAATGAGTGAAAAGAAATATGTGAACTTTTTCTTACCCAAATTAATAAACTTCCTGGATTCTGTAGTCCATAGGTCCTAGGTTAAGAACCCTTAGTTTGGGGCATAGACAGACATTGAGCAAATAACAGCACCAATATATAATAACAAACTGTGATGCCTGCTATGTGAATGTATCAGTTTCCTGAGACTGCTGTAACAAATTACCACAAAATTGGTGGCTCAGAAGAAAATAAAAAACCCCAGAAATTTATTCTCTTTCAGTTCTGGAGTCTAAAAGCACAAAATCCATATCCCTGGGCCGTGTTCCCTCTGGAGGATCTAGGGGAGAATCCATTTATTGTCTCTTCCAGCTTCTGGTGGCTGTTGGCACTCCTTAACTTGTGGCCACATCACTCCAATCTTCAAGGCCAACATCTTCAAATCTCTCTGTTCTGCCTTCAAATTGCCTTCTCTGTGTGTATATCAAATCTCCCTCTGGCTCTCTCTTATAAGGACATTTGTGATTGCATTTAGGGCTCACCTGGATAATCCAGAAAAAGCTCCCCATCTCAACATCCTAAATTTAACCACAACTGCAAAATCTTTGCCAAAAGAGGTAACATTTACAAACTCCAGGAATTAAGATGTGGGTATCTTTCAAGGGGCCATTTTTCACCCCACCATGGTGACCCGGAGTCCTGATTCAAGCTGCAGTTGGTGATGTCCCAGGGATAGTTTCCCTTACACAGAGACTTTGGACTGATAACTGAAGGAAGAATATGAGTAACTAGATAAAAGGGGTGTGCAAGGCAGGTGAGGTTGTTTCAGATAGGCACACAGGCAGACTAGCTCAGGCAAAAATCCAGAAGCTGGAACATCTATGCCACATCTGGGTGTGGAGGGTAGATGATGTATCTAGGGCCCAGAGAGGGCCCAAGTGGAGTGCTGAGAGATGCCCAAGAGAGGTCAGTCGGAGCCACATCGTAAAGCATCTCATAGGCTTTGGTTTTAAGGATTTCCTTTATAGAAATGAGAAGATATTAGAAGATTCTATAGGCTGAATGTTTATGTCCTCCAAAAATTCATATGTTGAAATCTTAACCCCAAGGGGATTATATTAAGAGGTAAGACCTTTGGTAGCTGACTAGTTCATGAGAGTGGAGCCCTTGTGAATGGGATTAGTGCCCTTATAAAAGAAGCTTGAGAGAACTCCCTTGCCTCTTCCACCATGTGAGGACACAGTAAAAAGGTGATCTGTGAACCAGGTAGCATGGTAAATCTGCCAGCAGCTTGACCTTGGACCTTCAGCCTCCAGAACTAATAGAAACAAATGTCTGTTGTTTATAAGCCACTCAATATTCTGTTTAAGTGGCCCAAACTGACTAACAGGGGTGTCATGTGCTCAGAGCTGGGATTTTGAAAGCTCACTCTGGTTTAAGTGAGGAGAATAGATTATGGGATGGAGGGTTGCAAGAATGAGTGGTAAGAAGAACCAGTTAGAAGATGTGGCAGGGTCCCAGACAGAGATGACAGACTACTTGGTCTAGAGGTGATGGAGGTAGGAAAACATTGAGAATAAATCAATGGACCTGTTAAAAAATTCGGTGACTCAGGACACAGTATAGGTTTGGTTAATTGTAGAAAAACTTGGACAATACAAAATTTTAATGTGTGTAAGTATGAGTTTCAGTTTACAAATCTGGATACAAGAAGTGAAATGCATCTTTATTTTACTAAATTCAACTCAATCTGATCTGAGCTGGTGAGAAATTCAATCTCAGCTATTAATTCTACATGCCCCTTCCCAAGGCTGTGTGAAAGGTTTGAGTACTTTATACAGATGACATTTGAGGAAGGAAGGGGTGTGTTTAGTACTCAGTAGTCACCACTTATATATGTATATCTTGCTGTTCAGTAGCTTGTTTCCCTGAAATTTCGAAGCAATCTATGCCAAAATGTATAGCTCTTTGGTTCTTTTTTGTAGGCAATTGTAGCCAAGAGAAACTTTGAGACAAGGCAACATTAGCTACTCTTCCTATAATCTTGTGAACAGAATGCAAGTCTTTAAAAAAAATTCTGTCACTTGCATGGACATGGACATTTATTAACTTTTTTAAAAAGGAAAGCACAGGAACAATTCATACAACCTGTGGGCTTGGAAGCCCTGGGTCTCTCTCCTTTTCAGTGCTCCAAACACCGCTTTGCTCAAAAGCTTTACTAGAGGCAAATCTCAAAACCAGAGGCAGGATTCTTGAATGATGCAATGGAGTCTCTCCTGTTCAAGGTTGAATACAAGATCATTTAGAGCTTGAGTGTAGAGCTGACAGTGAAGGTGGGCTACAGGCCTTTCTAGCTTCTTATGGCCTGTTCATACTTCCATTTGGGTTCTCCCATGAGCCAAGTAGTCCATTTAGGAGGTGAAGGAACCACCAGTAGGAGAACGGATAAGTGAACCTCAGGAAGAAAGGCCAGATGGTAAAAGGTATGTTGTCAAGCCCATTGGCATTGTAGGTAACTAGCGGTTAAATCTGTAGGAAGAATACTTGGAGCCAGTGTAGAACACAGGCCTCAGAGTTATCCCATCTGAGGGGCAAGGGAGCTGGGGTGTTAGACACCAACTCTGGTTAATTATCAGCTGAGGGCTACTCAAGAGGCATTAATTTCCTGGCACTTATGGTCAGACACACAGGCAACAAAGTTGACTTCAGTGACAAAAGCAAGCTCATAGGCCAGGCAGTACAGCTGCTGGCACTTGGCAGTGGGCTGGCATGCCCAAAGTACATGGGCGGGGGGACCACAGGTGGCAGGCCAGCAGCATCTGCTACAGGTAAGAAAACAGCCCATTTCTGGCAACCCTCCTTCTGTCTCACAAGTCACTAAGTCCACCAAGGAAAACCCATTTCTGATCCTCACTATATACTAATTAGGAAAGCCTCAAGTGTTGATTGGAGCACTAATGATGTGCTTGAAGGAGCCACCCTTGGAAGGTGGCCTTTTTGATCTAATGTCTGCTGAGTACTCCTGGAATGGGGGGTCTACAACAGGCAACAGGTGGCCCTAGAGCTGAAGCTCAAACTATCACATACATCCAATCACACGGTCTATGCTGGACAGACATCATCATACTTGCCATCCTAGAGCCCTTCAGTTGGAGGACCTGACCCTACTCAGTCACTGTGTGTGTGGGAACAGAGCTTGAGTGCCCTCCTGCTAGCAGGACCTGCAAGAAGCCAGTCCCTTTCATCAGCGAGTCCCCAACAGTCTCTAACCCTCTTCCTTCCTAAGGGGGATTTTGCCTTCTTAAAACCTTTGAACTCTAATATTCTCCCCCATTTCCTCACGCCCATCTCCCCGCCCCCTTCCCGCACATGCACAGATGCACACTTTGTCCAGGGCAGTTCTTTTCAGTGGCTGTAGGTTTCTGTAAAACAACAGACTGGAGTAACATTTCCTATTCCATGTCCTGGGACCGGTATACTCAATTTTCAACCATTCCACACAGAGCCCCTGAGGCAAAGGAGCACCTGTCTCATCTTCCTGGGGTGGGGGGAACTGGAGAAGGAAAAATACCTAGAGCAGCAAGGTCAAACTGAAAATTAATATCTTAATAAATTGTCCTGACGCATTGGTGTAAAACTTGTGCTTGTTGCTTTCCTTTAAAAAAAAAAAGGTTATTTAAAAACACGTAACATAGATTGATGATTCCCCAGCACCAGTACCAGTTCATTGGATGTCTCCCCTGTTTTAGGGTCTATGACAAGATCAGTATATACATTGTCATCAGATGCTTGTGAATCTTATGTGAGGCATGATTATCTCCTTTTTACAGATAAGGAAACTGATTTTCATAGGGATTCTTTTAAAAAACACCATTTCTTATAATCATAAAAAAAGGTAATCGGCAAGAAAATTAAAAAGCTCAAAGAAGGAAATAGAAGTCCTTATAATCCCTCAATCCATAGATTACAATTTAGAGTATTTTGATTATATCACTCCCATCTTTTTTTAGTGTCCATTTGCGC